GCGAGTTTGCCGCCCCCTCCTGGACGCAGTCCTATGCAGCCTGCTGTGGGTGGCCCTGCTTGGGCAGGGGGTTGGGCTGGGTGACCCACAGAGGTCCCTGCCAACCCTAACATTCTGGGATTCTGTGATCTGTCTTACTGTTTAATTGTGTAAGCAAGAAAACAGGGAGCTGCCAAAAGTATCCCTTCCTACTCTGGGAACCAAGTTCAGCTAATGCTCACCGAGGATTTCTAGGCCTTAAATTGTAACAGCAAAGGACTGAGGGAGGAAGAAGTAAAGCAGTTACATCTCTGGTCCTCTTCTGAGTTTGTGGGCAAAGCATCAGGCTCTTTTCTGTGCACGCTAGCAAGGATGCCGTTTGCGGCAGGAAGGGTGGAGCAGAAACACAGACGCTGTTCGAAAGTTTCAGACCTTTCAGCAGGGTGAAGAAGTGAGAAAGTTGACGGCGTCGGAGTTCGTGGGTAAATGTTGCCTTTGGTCTGTCTCCCTTGCTCTGATTGTGTCTGGAGTTACGCAAGTAGTTCATTGAATGCCTTGTTTCCAATGTGGAAAGACGGAAACAGCTGAGAAATACAATTTTTTTTTTTAAATGAAAGGTAAAAGAAGGATGCTATTCACTTTTTTGCCTATAAAAAAGGGTGACTGAGGTTTATGTGCGGTAAGGTAAAGGCAGACAGCAGACTAGAGGGAAACAGCCAGCTCACCGTATTTGAATTTGTATTTAGAAATCAAAATACTAGTTACCTGTCTGAGCTGGAGGAGGTTCTTCAGTGGGAGCCTCAGTGATTTCTGAGTGAGTTACCAGGGACAGTGAAGGCTGTTGAGCAGAAAGAAAACAGTCGAAAGACCGCTTTGTGTCTTCAGTCGAGCATCTGTCTAACAAAACCGTTCTTCATATCTTTTGCTGATTGAGCTTGAGGCCTCAAGGAGGAAAATGAAATCTTGGGTTCAGTTTAAAAATGCTGGGCTGGGCTGACCTGGTATCCAGAGGTCTCCCCGCAGTGGAAACTTCTCTGGCACAGCTTCCGTGCCGCGTGCGTTAGCTATGACCACCTCAGACCTGGGGCGGGCATCGGCTGCCAGGTATCGCCTCCGTCCTCCGCTCCCCACATCTGTTTGTATTCACTTGCAGTTATTGATATTTTCACAACACCTGCTCCCCACTTTCTTGACAAACGTTTCTAGTTGTTGCACAAGAGGTTGAAAGTAAAAACGTTGGTTAGCATGGTGAGAATAAACTTGGAGAAGAGGAAGAACTGCTTCACTCTGAGCATGACGGAGCCCTCGCCCAGGCTGCCCAGGGAGGCTGTGGAGTCTCCTTCTCTGGAGATATTCCA